CGAGTGGGGTTGGACTTAATAAAAATTTTACTCATTATTGACATTTACAATTTTTTTAAAAACTCATTACTATGTTCTTTTTATAATAATTAATAATATAAAACTTATTTTTTAATAACATCTCATAACAGATGGCACCACATACAATTTTAACCTTCAGCTAGTGTCATGGTATTTTATTTAAATTTAAATATTATTTTGAATGGAGATTTTTATCATAATTTAACAAAATTACAGCTTTTATTATTTAAATTTTATATTGTAGTATAACTGAAAATTATCAAACTTCCTGCTCAGTGCTGGAAAAGTTGTGCAAGTCTTTGCCAGCTTTTCTCACCATATTGTTACAGATATCACCACTAGACATAGGCCCTATCACATATTCTTTGTTACCAATGGTTTATTGTAATATGATGTTGGTCATTACTTTCAGCAAAACCACTAGACATTATAAAACTCAATTTAAATTAAATCAGTTCTGATTGAAAATTATCTGGAAAAAGCCTAGAAATATATGATTCTAGGCTTTTTCCAGATAAGTTCAATGTAACTTCAAATTTTATTGATTTTTCTACATTTACAAATAGTTATAACTAAAGACTTTTTCCTCCATCCCAATACATTTTCTATTTTATCCTGATACCAAATTTAGTATTCACATTTTTCATGAACTATAGAGGGTGCTGCATTTTTACAAAATGGCTACTTTATCTGGATCGCTTATATATTACTGTCCAATATAATGATATATGCTGCTTGTAGCTGTTTATCGAGAACTTTTATAGAAGGAGAACAATTATTGCTAGTGAGACACGTCATTATGTGTTATCGAAACAAATGAGCGAGATCGTTCTATACATATTTGTGCTCTTTGTGTTAAAAAACATCAGCTTTGACATTGTCCTATCAGGGCTGGATTTACCAGTAAAAAGCTATGTAAGTTGTTGCTTAGGGCCTCAAACATTTGTACAAAAAAGAAAATTGAAGTCAAATTTTGTAATAAACATTTTTTACAAACCAACAAAATATACTTTACTTTTTATTTTGTGTAGTATTTCATTAATTTTTTTCTAAGAATTAACATAAGATCTTTTTAAAAAAATTGATAAAACCAATTTAAAAAAGATTTTTAAGAGACTGGGTATAAAAATTTAATTAAATTCAGTTATAAACCAGAAGACTAGTGAAACCTCACATCTTTTTCTTCCAATATCCGTATTAAATCAGAGACATAGTCTGATTTAATTCTTTTCTTTTTATGATTGACTTCTAAAATTGTAAATGGTTGGTAAGGGGTCTTACAGAGTTCAGCTTAGGGCTTTGAAATTCTTAAATCCGATCCTCTATCCCACACAAAATTACTGGCATTTTAAACTTTAAGAAAATATGTTTTAAAATTGACAGCATAACTTGTTTGTGTAAAGCTGGACAATCAGGAAACTGCCAATTCTTAAATCTAATCCACTCGCTCAGAATTCAGAGAAGCTCATAAATATAACTGACCAATTTCCAAATAATCATCTGTTTTTCATGTGGGAATAGACAAAAACTTATATTAGGCTCCCGTAAGGCTTTGAAATTGCAATTTGGAATGCAACAGAAAGCTTTCCTTTTTCTATTGCTATTCATCTTTACTGCTGATAATATACAAGAATGAATCAAACAACCCAGATAGAATAGTTTTGTTTTCAAACACCAGAGGGTGAGCATTTGGTGAAAAATGCAAATAACCATTGATTTATAAAGTTATCTTGACATTGTCTGATTAAAGAATATTTGAAAATTTGCATATTTCTCTGCTTTCTTGGAGATCAAAATTATTGATAAAATAAATTAGTTGAATATTTGCAGATATATCAATTTTATCCATATTTTAAGTTTTAATAAAATGAACTTTGAAAACTAAAAAACTTGTTTAGAACAAATGAATAAACATCTTATTTCCATTCCATTAAGCATTTTATTAAATGAGACAATATACAAGCCATTTTGCAAGAATAAATTTTCTATAATTTCAAATGCAAATAATATTAAACTTAACAATGCATTTAAATTAAGTTTTAAAAAGTGATTTTATACTTTTTATTTATTAGCTATGTTCAGTTTAGCATGCTAAAGCATCTCATTTAACCAAAAATTCAACAATTTTTCCAAAGTTTACATCTTAATTATCCTAGCACTTTCAGTTTCTACAATCCATTTTACAAACATTAATAATAAAAATATTAACTTGTACTGGAACTAGAAAGAATTAAGCAAAATTATCACCTTTTTAAATATTCCAGCAAATAATTTAATATCATAAAAACGTTTTTGATCCTCTTTAACGATCTTCATCAGTTAAATAATAAAGTAAAAAGAACATTAAAGAAATAGAACTTAAATTAAAATTACAAAAAAATAATAACTAAGCATACATTTGTATTCATTCCCTTAATTATCAAAAACATTTTTACGATATTAAATTATTTGCTAGAATATTAAAAAAGGTGATAATTTTGCTTAACATTAATAATACAAAAAAAACTATATTTTTGGATTAATAAACTGATATGGAAGTTTTATATTTTAAATAAAGCATTTCATCTCTTCATAACATAATATACCTTTTATAATCACATTTGTTCCTTTTCTATAATATAAATATTGATTCTCAAAAGAATTTGGTCAAGAAAACATTCAAGAACTGTAATTCACAGATTTATTGATTATATACTGTCATCAAGAAAAAAACATGAGCACTTTATTTACCACATTCATACAAATGACTCAAATTAAAGAATTAATTAGGAATTAAATTTAAAATGTATAATAAAATATTTGACCATCGTCAAAATTTACTTATTAACTTATTAAAAAAAATAGACTTAATAGCTTATAAAATTATTATTTCACTACACTTTAATAAATGTAATTGATAAATAATAGAGAATTTTGATATTTAAGAAACTTAAAACATTTGTTATCTTATTGAAAAAGACTTTTTTGAGAATGGATCATTCCTTGAATTCTTAATTTTTCATTAATCAAAAATTAAGATAAAGAATTATGATGATTTGAATAGTTTGAATTTTCAAACTACAGTAGAGTCCCAGAAATTGAACTCTCGATAATTTGACATTAATTAAAACTTGCTTTGTTGTTCAAAAACAAAAAAATACATGTAATCTAATTTTTATCTCTATAATGTAACACTAGGATCAAATAAGTTATCATTATTCTTTGGCAATACTTGATGATAAATTCTGCATGATGGCCAGATGGCTGAGTGGTCAAGGTGGCAGCCTACTGCTCTGGGGGACCCAGGATTGAATCTGGACGAGTTGAAAAATTCCTAGGGGTGGTCCATCTGGATATGTTGGGTCCTGTACCTCACCACCCAGCCACTCCATTGTGGACCTGGCTGAATCCATTATGGGCTTACTGGAAGAGGCCCTCTTAATGCCCACAAGACAAAAAGAGTTAGAATAAAAATATATAAAATAAATAAATTTCACATGTTAACAAATAACAGAACCTCTTTTTCACAATGCCAGTGCAAAATGCCACCATGCAAATGTCACTAACTCAAAAGTAATCACTAAATAGTCAATAGTTTTTTTTAATCAAAATTTAACTAGAAATAGAAATTGTCAGTATGTAATTATTATGTACACAGATTTGCACATATAATACCTTTATGAAAATTCAATTATTTAGAATAGCATCATTGCTATCCAAAAAACTTGTCATTTTCAGTAACTTATTACCTTCTCATTTGACACTTTCTGAAACTCGACTATGTCAGTATTATATGTAAGTATCAGTTGTTCATCCATCAAACTATCACTTGGTTTTATTTCACAAATAAAAATTTTGAGACTTCATAATTTAAGTAATCTGCATATAAATCTGAGAGAAGTATCAATGCTGTAAAATACACTAACAAGTAAGTTTGATTAATTTACGACAATGTGATACATGGGTGATCTGTTGAGGGGATGCCTCCTGGGAGGACTTTTATGGGAAACTAGCCCATCCAGGTAATATGCCAAACAACTGCCGGATTAAATCAGGCCACTTTACCACTATTATTTTTAATAGCCGTAAAATAGTCCAAATTAATCCGGTAGTTATTTGGCATATTACTAAAATAGCAGGCTTTGAGAAGTTTATATATCCTATTTAGGTGTTACAAATGTGAAGAAAACCCAGAAAACTCCACATGGCCAACCAGCTGGTGAGGTGCAAACCCACAACAGACTACCAGTGTTCAGTGGTTTTATCCACTCAACATTTAGTAGGCTCAAAATAAACCGGGTAAAGATTTATTTGAGGAACACATACTGCATATATGTGAAATTACTAAAAACAATTATAAAGACAATAAAAATTATCACATGAAGTACATCGAAATTTAGAAATAAATCTTAGACAACAAGGAAATATGAAATGATTGAATGTCTGTATGATGAGTGTTTTAGGTTAAACACATAAACCAAAGATAACTCTTCCACGAAATATAGAGTAAAAAGTAAAAAGAATTACTTCTATTAGAAAGGGAGGACAATGGCCAGATATAATTAATTGAAAATACATTGAACAGAGAAACATAAAAGAAATGTCCATAGCCTATAATCGTTTCATGCAATCTTGTGACAATGATGCCATACGATTTCCCCAAAAAATACATAATTTCTTATAATTTATGTCTTATTCATCAAAATTAGTGACAAAGTATATCAAACGAATACTTCAGACTCAACATTAACTTAGAATTAATGTTGTTTAAAACACAAACCTCCTTGCCTATAACAGCAACGGCAACAGCCATGTTATAATGATTAATTCAACACAAACATAATAAATATCTTTAAACCACCATATGAACTCTCTCCCCGCCAACGATCACGTGCGCAACCTCTTCCATCAGCGATATTTCTTAACTGATAAGAGATTGGATATATTTTTTCCATCGCACCAATAGCGTTACTCGTTATTAAATTGTTTTTGTTACGTCACTCGTACACATGGCTGCTATCACTTTGTTCTCAGTAATTGAAAGTTTTCCATTCATTCCTTCTAATAAAGACGTTAATTCGTTTATTTTTAGTTGAATTATGGCCTAATTGAAGATAATAATGAATATCTATCTGTAATTATAAATATAAATTCTTAAATTAATTAAATTAGTGTTTTTATTACAGTTTTAATTACTTTTTTAAATTAAAATTTTGTTTTAAAGATGAAATGAATATAATAATTAATTTTAAAAATATTAAATGTTTTTTAAGTTTTTCAAGTAATTAATTTTTCAGAAATTTGAATTTGAAACTCAAATTTCTAAAAAATTAATTAAAAATATAAAATGTTTGTATGATGTGAACTCTGAATGAGGGATTTGCTACTCCTATGGTTATAGACCCCCCTGTAGAGGTAAGGTTCCTTTGACTTTTTGCATCTAAAACCACAATCACATTAGTCTAGTTACTTGAAACCACTGGACTAATGTGAACCTACTATTTACTTGACTTCAGGGGTGTTGTTTCCACTATGGAAGGTATGGAAGACTCCATACCCTACATTTTTGCAGGTATGGAATACCATACCTCAGAATATTGAAAAAATTATTTATAATTTAATGCAAAGCAAGCCAAGGCACTTGCTCTTGGTATGAAAACAAATTTTTTCCTTGGATTTTGACCAATCAAACTCTTACATAATCCAAAGTATCAAAATTTTTCTAACTCTAAGCAATGCATCACCATTTTGTGAAATGCAGGGTCCTGCTTTCACAAAATTCCATACCTCAACTTTTAAAGAACTGACACCCATGCTTGACTTGACATATCCTTCCAAGTTTCAAGTGCAGTTGAGGTTCTTTTACTTTTTATTTGCCTTAAATGATAACCAGTGGCATGCTGTCATTAGAAGCAATGGATGTGCCGCTTCCCTTGTATTTTCTAAAAAATAAATACATATTAATTTTAATTATATGAAAATAATTGCACAATATTTTATTATAACTGCATTATGGATCTTATTACAAATTTCTATACTGCATGTTAAAAAAAAAAAAAGATTGTTATTATATATTCGAATATTAGTGGCGGAGTAGCGGAATGGAAACACTGTATTTTCAGCATCCAAAAAACCAGATTCGCGCATGAGCTTTACAGAGCACCAACCTCACCCAGTTTAGCCGGTGGAAGCCTACGACCTTGGGTGGCTGCTATACATATAACGCATCCAGTTCTATCCAGGACCGGTTCCGGGCTGTTAGCTGCCCTCGCCCGATTACGTGAATCACGAGTAGATTTATGACTTAACCCAACCGATAAGAATTTACCTGTATGTTTTTATGATAGTTTTCTGTATAGTTGACAGGAGTTTAAAAATAATATTTAATATATTTATTTCGCTCTCCTATCTTATATTACTCACGGATTTCAATGTTAAACCAGTGATATTACGATTTTGTATGTCCCATCTTTAAGGGGATGTAGAAAAAAAGTGTACAATTCTTGTATAATGTTAAATAATTAACTGTTACTTTGGTAGCATAATTTACAACTAAATTTAATGAATGAGAGAGATGCATGAGGTACAGAAAAAGTTCTAGAATTTATTTTCTTAAATTTACGATTTATGTATCCGTTTGTCATAAAAATTTGTCTTTTCACTTCTTTCCTAAGACTACAAATATTCAAGTACAAAGTAACTGGTTTCGACTTATTTCTACTTAAGAAGTAGTTAAATAATTAAGCGATTAGGGAATTGGAGACATAAACAAAACCTTGATGAAAGAGCCGAAATTTTACTTAAACAAAAGCCTAACTGAACCAATCTCTATCTGAGTACAGTGGGACTGATTTCTTTGAAATATTAGATGTAATAAAGACAGACATTTTTCCAGTTCAACGAGAGTGACCGAAAAGTAAATTTTGGAAATTTCCGTGGACAACACCTGGTCCTAAAACGAATTAGTTAGAAAACAAACAACAGACAATCTATTAAGTTTAACATATTTAGACTTTTACAGCTATGGTGAGAAACATTTAAAATTTACAAGAACCCTATCACATCCTTTGAGATATGCTAGTGATGCGACAAAAGAGGCATTTGACGTTGACCGGTATGGGCACCCTCGTGATTTGGCAACTCACGTGCATGTACACACCGCACACCTAGCAGGACTGTCTCTGATTGCACTCGTAGGGAGCTATTTGACTAAGTGGTTAAGATTTAAAGAGTAAAGACTATTTATGTTATTTTTATGTATGTTTCATTACAAAGCTATATTTAATTATAATTTTCTTTAAAAGTATATTCATACAATTGGAGAATGTTTTGTACTAGATATGTATATCCACCACACATTTTATTTCACCAGTAAGTTTTTATAATTTTATTTTTAATTTTAGCCCTTATATTGTAGCTAGCGATTCAGAATGTTATTGTGATATTGAAAATTTATTTTAAAAAAGTTTTGGCTCAAGACCCCATAATGAAAAATAAAACATTATTAAAAGAGAAAGGCCAATGCCTAAGTTAAATAAAAACACTTCAATAAAAAAATTTGTTTGACATTTTCACGATAAAATGGCTATGTAGATGCATAAAAATGCAAAAATTGTTTTGTTGGCTCACCTACTATTTTCAAATGAAATTAGTGTGTGGAATAAGAATGGCTTTGACAATTTAGCTGGCAAAAGACACGAAAAATCGTCGATTCTTTCGTATTTGAAGCAATTTGGAAATCGAAGCGGAATAGAATTTAACATTATTAAATAATATAAAATAAATATTAAAAATTATAACGAGATAGTTACGGTTAATAGATATATTATATCTAAATAAATTATGTTGTATGTTTTTATCAAAGCAAGAATTGGCATTTAGAGGGCGTATGGAATATATTGGATCTAATAACAGAGGTAATTATATTGAACTTGTTTATTTATTAAGTATATCAGATAAATAATCTATTAAAAATACATTTAAAAAAAGAATTAACTGTTTGCCCCTGGAAGTTGGCTTCTTATAGAAACACAGCTTCCCTATCATCAAATGTCATGGCACGCCACTGATAATAACTTAAGTAGTATGAACTATTTTAGCCTTGTTTTGATTACAAAAAGTGAGGAGGTTGTTATTGTCATATCATTAAAAGTCATGAATGATAAGAATAAAGATTAGTAAGTTTATGAAAAGTATGATGTTTTATGGAACGTTCAAGGAGAGAAATATCACAACAGAAATGTGAGAGACGAAAGTATGAAGAAACTGTTGAAAGGAATGAATGATGGAGGACTAAATGTGGATATTGAAGAGGTTCATAAGAAAATAGACTTTCTGTTGGTGAGATTATCATGACACTCTCCTAGGGACATTCCAGGTGATGTCTAGACCTTTGTTTATATAAGAAGATTCTTGTACTTTGTACCTTATCTCCTTTCATTTTTGGTATGTGTACTCTATACAGCTAGATTAAACTCTTTGTTCAAACCAAGCTGTTCCCTTTTTACTTTGCTCCGTTGCCACACCCTGCATTTATTACAACATTTTCAAAACTTTTCTTACACAGACACATTGTAGTGACAATTTTCAAACACTAGGCAAATTTTTCATTTTCAAAACTGTATATAGTGAGGAACTGAGATGCACCACGATTCTTCTGCTAATCCACTTTCTCACCCATACTGACTCTTTCCGATTACCATAATTTTCCTAGATTTTCAATAATTCATTGACAATTTCAGTTGTTATTACTGAGATTCTGGCATGCATTAACTCATTTGATTTGAATTTAAATATCTACTTGATTTGAATTACTTGTTTATACTATGAACACAAACTTGAATTCAAATAACTTAACTAATGTTAACAAGGTATATATGGGTATGGTCTACAGCTATGATAAGGTCTCACCCAGTTATGCATGGGCTCAGGCAAATTTGAATTAGGAGGCCCATGCACAGTGTTGACTTTTGACATTTTTTCAAGGGAATTTTTTGAGAGAAATATTTTATAAAAGATTGATTTGCCTGGGTCTCCCTCTGACCAGCCCCTGACAATTGCTCTTTATTCCCATAGGATAATGTGCCACTGGTCCCAACTATCTCATTCAGAGGTGTAATTGTACCAAAATGTTTATATTTGAATGACAATCCTGTGATTTAATACAATATATTGCTTAAAATTTTATATTTTTATTACATGTTTTATATAATTTACAATCGTTTTGAACTACATATCAAGTAATTGATTATATTTTATGGGTTAGAGAGATGGATAATATACAGAGGCTGCTAATTGCAAGCCAACATGGAAATTTAAGTATTGTGAAGAAATTACTTGATGAAGGTTGGATATTATTTTAATTTATTAATTCATACACAACTAATGAAAATTTTTAAAAATTATTTATCTATTTAAATTTAGGAATTTCAGTTGATAGTCAAGGAAATGAAGGAGTTACAGCTTTACAGTATGCTGCAGCTAATGGTGACAATGATATGCTTCAATTATTGCTTTCTCATGGTGCATCTGTAGATCTTCCAAATGAATATGGCTGGACACCATTAATGCATGCTGCTTATTATGGATTTGATTCTACTATCAACATTCTTCTAAATCATAAAACTAAAGTTAATACTAGAAATAAATTTGGTAAAATATATTTTATTTTTTAATTATTTACAATTATAAGCTTAAATTCTTATTGTTATATATTATAATAGACAGTAATCTTTTCTAAAAAATTACTGTGATATGCATATATAGTCAATGAACATATAATATTGTTTTTACTGAGTACTATGTATCAGCTACCAATACTTTTCATGCTATCTACAAGTATGGTGTACCTGTACATTCTAGCTGAAAAATAGCCCTGATTATAGAGATTACAGTGGACCCCCTATAACACAGGTTCCTATAATTACGATTCCTATAAGATGGCAAAAAAATTGTGACGGTATCCATACAAACCTGGTAAAAAAAACTCCTATAATTCGGTAAAATGTCATCAGGCAGCCGAACTACTTTCCGCTGTCCAGCGCCACGCTACAGAGAATTTAGGCGGGTAAATTGAGTTTACTATCGTCTGTACAGTATTATATATAAATTAGGTACTGTACATATAATTATATATAAATTAGGTACTGTATATATAATTATATATTAACTTAATTTATTGTAACTTTATTATAATTATATATATACTTTCCGCCGTCCAGCGCCACGCTATGGAGACTTTAGACGAGTAAGTTGTTTACTATCGTCTGTACAGTATGTAAATTAGGTACCATAAGTCTAATACAGTACTGTACTTTTATACATTTCTTGTGAAAGAAACATTTCTTATTCAACGGCCATAAAAATTATTTATATTAATAATGTCTCCAAAGTTCAACGAACTTTTCGCAGAAAAATAACTTATCAGAAATCGCGGCCGCGGTTTCGTGCGTTGGTCCGCGACGAAAACAAGCAATGGCGACGTCGAATGCTGCACACTCGGTAAGTAATCCTACAATTTTTTGTTTATAGCGTAGTTTATACGGATTATTCCCAAAAAAAATATACGTATTTTGGAAATGTTGAGTCG